AGGTTAAAGGAAAGCCCTAAAGAGAAGATTACAACTTACCTACGGATAAACCACCCAGCCAAATCTAACACGCCTAAGTCGACTTAGCCGCCGTAGGTTACGCGAGAGTTGGATTAATTTAGCGACAGACTCGCCGATTCCGGAATCACACTATGTTTTTTAAAAGTTCGGCACGCTATTTACTATGTTTTTGACACACCAGTCCCGCAATTTTAGAGGTTTTTGAAATTTTCAAATTTCTGTCCGGCCCGTGAAGGCTTCTAGTACGTACTGTACGCGGCACATCACTACACATAATACACGTAGGCATAATTCTGGCCAGCTAGTATAATTCTGGTCGGCCTGCATAATGCTGCAGTCTGCAAAATGGATTCGATTTTCCCATCCTTAATCAGAATTGGTTTTCGGCATTACAATATTCCGATAACCGAATTCAAAAACTTATCGAATTCGACCGATCAAGTTTTTATCAGTTTTTCCAGAATTTATGAGAACTGTAATAAACTTAATTAATTTCTCCTTGAGTAGATACCAAATATGATTATCGTGATCATATCGATTAGTTCATACCGAGTTTAAAAATGAGATTAGGTTTGCAGCTATTTTCATATCTATCGATCCATCCTTCCATGAAACTCTTGTAGTATAGGTGACACATTAATAAATTTATTGATTTAAAGTAAGTGTCACATATACTACAAGAAATTCCATTGAGCTACAATTCGGGTGTATTTTTTTTGCGGACTTATAGTTCAGTACACCCGACAATGCAATCATGTGTTAATGAATGCACAACATATTTTCACAGGATACCCGCCCTTAGATAACTCTCCAAATTAGTTCTTCCCAAATCAACTATCAATACGATAAATATGATCTATTGTCTGCATTAGCATAAAAACTTGTAAGCTAAGTTAAGGAATTTGTATGATGACAAAAATGAGCTATTTTTCACTTGAATTAAAATTTTCAGTAAAAAATTGCAGCTTTTTACTGTCACACTATGCAAATATTTGGCAAAACTGTATTAGAGAGATAGGGGTTGAGATATACGAGCGATAATCTGAATTTCTTAAACAACCATGAGGTCAGCCCTGTAAGTTTTATTGATTTAAAACTTTATAGTATATAAATCAATATAACAACTTCATAGTTAATCAGTTTATGCTGAAATAAACATTTAAATTATGTGTGTAGCAAAAAATTACGTGAGAATAATTTTTTTTTTTAGTTTATCGGATTAGTAACATATGAATAAGTCGTTATTTGGCAGACGAAAAAAAATTCATCGGATAGATTCGTATCAGTGATTGTTTCAACTAACGTATAATTATCGCCTATTAACAACATTTTATATGCGATAATTAATGAATGCAGCAATTTTTGTGAGAACGAAGTTCAGGTGGATTCCAAACCTTTAATTTTATTAAGTTGTTCCAAATCCATTTAAATTTCGTTCCGATTATATTACTGCATTGCCACATTTAGAGGTCGCCTAAGCCCAGGAAGTTTTTAAATGATTACTTTAAAGTAAAAATCTCGTGAAACATATAAATTACTACTGACTTTGGACGACCTCCACATTTATATATGGCATTTAAGCAATGTGAAATTGCGGGATATTATAAATTGTAAATTAAAATTAATTGTGACGTCAACTATACTTATACCTAATGATGTGCCGCGTATGTGCTGTACACTAAAGAAATCTTCGTTTTATATAAACGGCACATCACTAGTCATATCATTATAAAGATATATTATATCTTGGCCTCTTTTCAACATATAAACGTATGCAAAGCATACCTATAGAAGCCCTTTTTTACATATTATTGGAATATTTTACTAGATCAGGCCAAACTTAAAGACTACGGAATGACCAGCAATATGCACGCACGTAAATCTCTGGTCCAATGCGTATTTACATATTTAGAATAGTATTTTATACAGTGCATATAATTTTTAATTTATCTCTCATCTTCCATTAATTTCATACTCACATGTCAATCCTCAAATCCATTAAAGTTTCAAATAGGGTTCGAACTTAGCAGTGGTATAGTAAAATTGACTAAAAATTTTTTTGCTTGAGTAGTACGGAGGATGAGTTAAACCGTTTTTGATCTTCCGGATCGTGTTACGTTACACATAACTAGAATATCTACGTATATCGATATGTCAATCATGAATTTACTAATTTCCCCCACCACTTATGATTGGTTATACTAATTATTCACATATCGGAGTATCTGTGTTATTAATCAATTTTATAGTTCTCCGATAGAGAAATGGTGGGGGAAATTAGGGCACCCAAATTAGGGTACCCGTCAATCATGAAGTTCATTGTGATGCAGTGGTCTTGTCCAAATTTGTCATGACATCATTATCGATATCATCACAGACCACCGCCTATGCTTAGATTCGAGTTTGTCGATATTATCAAGACAACTTATGCTGATCTGTCGGCGCTAAAATACAATGGATTCGAGTTTTTTTATTCTCCAATTCTTTACTAAACATGATTCGACTTATTATCTTAGCCAAAGTCTTGACGAACACTTTTATGCTTAACAATACAGAATGATAGGGTAGCAAATACTTCCGGATAATTAGTGTAACAATTAATTTGCGAATTATAACACTTGTCAACAATGAGCATCTTCATAACAATAATACCGGAACCTTCAACCTGGAAATTAAGCACATTGTTTATGACATTCTAGAGCTTAGCACCTAATAACTTGTAATTTGACGGGTTGCGTATAACGACCATTACCCGATCGGTCCGAATAAACCTGATAAAAAGCGAACTAAAAAACCCTTTTTCCAAACTACTTACTAAATGTTTAATTATATTTTCATGTGATTGAATTGAAGATGTCTAATAATGTGATTTATTGAGAAATTTTTATTTATTATGATCCAGAACTGTTCCAAGGATAGATGATCCGGTAGTGACTCAGACCTAATTTGGTCCAATCGATTATTTATTATTTTCAAATGCTGGAACGAGCATTCATTTTTACTACCCGTTCTCATCATTATACGATCAACTATTGTGTTTAAAAGCATGCTATTATTCAATTTTGTATGTGTTGAGTAACGCTAACTATCACGATTGGCCATCTGTTTTTTTTTTTCTCTTCTATTTGTAATTTGCCAAATCCTTATCAATGGGAAAAAATTATTTCTCGGCCGCAAAAGAATTATTTATAAAGCAACGCCAAACTTTATTTGCTAGGTAACTGGTACTTGAGACGTCCCTAGTGATAATCATACTTATTTTTATTTTCAACATGCCTAAATTCGTTACATGATCGTCACGAAATTAGAATACGTGTGTCTGAGAATATTTTAGCATAAAGAATATTATGTTATCAATGGCAATTAAACTTAAAAAATTCTTGGGGCAGATAAAATTGAAATCAAAAAAAAAAAATAAAAAAAAAATCAGATGATTACTAAGTATAAAGAATTTTTCAAAAAATGTACATATCAAGCAAAAGAGCATTGATACAAAACATTATTTAAACAACACATACATGCCTTTTTATTCCTCAACAAATTCATTTTCGCAATGAATCATTCCAATGTTCTGCGGTCAATTAAGCACTTAATTCAAAAACCTGGAAAAGGTAAAAAAAAAAATAAAATAAAATAAAATAAATAAAACATATAATTTAAAATTGATCTTTTTTCTAATGAATACGCATAATATTCTCAAATAGATAAAACAAAAATCGGGCCAGTTGCAGTTTACAAAGCCTGTAACAAAGAAATCGCGCGCCAAAAATGCGAAAAGATAGCTGCAATCATACGAAGCTTCCCACCAGAAGAAGCGATAGCATCGATTAAATTAACGCTTTTACAAGGCAATTCTGCGCTTCAATGGATTATGGTCAGCCCTGGTTCTGCAATTCCATCATCATCCAGAAAACTATCTAAACACCGTCGTCGGACTTACAAAAATTCAAAGAAACAGGAAGCAGTTCGAAATGCTCCTCTCAACCTAATTGATGGATGGCCATTTTGTCTACTACCTCCTTCGGATTATTTTTCTGACTAGTCTTAGCATAAAAAAAAAATTTTTCTGAAATTTGTAAATTTGTTGTATAAATAACTAAAAAGATTAACTGTGTCAGTTATAAATTTACAATAAAAAAGCTTTTTACTTACATAGCATCGTATATAAGCAGATGTTATTCGTATTAGTTTGCTAATGTTCAAATTGTTCTCCAAATTATCGATACTTGGATTGCATCAAAGGTGTCACGTTATTAGCATATCACAGAGCTTGTCTAATCATAATAAACATTTTGGGATAACAGAAATTGACATACCTAATTAATTAGTTAGCAGTATAGATCAGTCTTTATTGGTTAATTTCCTTCGTAGTACTATTAGCAAACTTACTATACGACAAATAACCATGTGACATTTAAAGTATGTCATCTATTTTATATAGTTTATACATTTTATAGCATTTCAATATAATATTCCATTTAGCAAGTTAATACTGTGACGTTCATTATATGCGAATGTCGTCAGACAACTGTATATAATGTTGGCGGTGGAATTACTGAATTACGGCATTCTACCATAAGGTAGAATTAATTACGGCCCAGAACTTAATTGCCGTAAATATTATGTGCCACAATGCCGTAATTAGGGATGGGTTCGGTTAGGTTATAGCCGGCTAGTCGATCGACTATAACCGTTGCTGAATAATATTTAGATACAGTAGCATTGTGGTATTTCAATACAACAGCGACATTACGGCACAAATAATACAGAACATGCCGTAACCGTATTAATTTGTCAAATTAATTCTACCACCAACACTAGGCGTGTACGAGTACCCTAGAATGAACCTGCTTGTATGTAAATTAGCCAATAACGAACTTCGAATTTGGTGTAACGTAACACGATCAGGAAATTCAAAGCAAACGTCAAAAATCGCTTTTTTTCTCGAAATTGTTCATAAGAAACAGTCTTCTGCGCTCTAACAAAAATTTTCCTCGAGGAATTTTACTATTTGCTTGCCAAAATCTAATCTTGATATAGCCGTTAATCTGGTTATAAATAAACTTTAAAGAATTTTTCGCACGTCACGTGGCAGGTTCATTCTTATTTAATATTTGAACAATTCACTTCAGTGATTGAACCTCTAATAGATTTTGGTAATTCATATAATTAATTTCTCAGTGCATCTAAAAAATAATCGTAGAGATAATAGCCTTAAATTTTTTCTTTTCATATGAATGTATTTATACCAAAAAATTGACGATGTTTATAAAGGTTTCTAACTAAATTTTTTGAAAATGCGTGGTAAAAATCTGACATTTTAAATTTTTTTTAAAAAACCAGTATCTTGACTCAAAATGCAAATTTGTCCGACATTCATGTACAATTTCATAAGTTGGGAATTGAACTATTTCCTTTTAATAAATTTCAAATTTTTTAATTTTTATAACTCTTTATTGTAATAATTTGTTGATTTTGTTATTAACAAAACTCTTTGTTATATTTTTATGTGACGCATTTTCTAATTTTTTAGTTTATATAATATTTGGAACTTTTATTTCCTTTAACAAAAAACTTTGGTCGTGTATTCGAATCAATTGTGCAGCAATTTCCGATGAAACTAAATTATTTTGTTGAAAAAAATTCCTAAAATTATTCGGAGTTCAGGAGTTGAGATTACATATGTACATATGCACGTATTTTCCATTTTTTCGGAAATTTATCTAACTTTATTTGGATTACGATTAGCAAAATCATGTATGAGTTTCTGGATTTGGCGCAGATCTACTTTTCCACTTTTGTGAAGAGAAAAAGAATTGTTCGTTTACTTATTTATATATGTGCGTCGAATTAGAAACTCGATAAATTTGGAATTTGTCTAAGTGGATTCTAAAAATATTTTAGTTGAATGAATTTTAAACCCATTCAGATGGTTAATGAATTTTAAATAATCATAAATTGATTCTTACTTATTTAGTTAGTAAAGTTTAAAATTACACTACATTTAGACTTGGATTTTTGCATTAGACAATTATTTAATTAATTTGTAAATAGCACAGCTTGTATACTTATATCGGTGGAGTCACGAATGAAAGGTACTTATAAAGTACAAAACTTCAGAATATTTCAAGACAAATTCTTAATTGCATTGAAATATTACGAACTAGTTACGCTTGGAGGTTATAATACTTGTGTAAAGCGTTTTGTTTATTGACATTTATTGATATTTGTATTGATTAATGTGACTACATTCTAATATAATAAATTAATCAGCATAACGAGATTTTACTGTGATAGGCTAATTTTTTTAGATTATGATTGGGTAAAGTCTCTGGACACTACCAGTTCATGTGATTTTACTTTAGGGCATGCACATTAACACGTGACAGGTTTTAGAGTACCCGAATTGGAAGTGTTACATCTGGACTACCTCTTTATAAGAACGGGATAACCTCTTTATAAGAACGGGATAACCTCTTTATAAGAACGGGATAACTAAAGGCGATAATAACCGAAATTCTTGAGTTCGTCTTATAAATGTACATTGCTCATGCCAATAATTTGTATTAATGCTAAAGAGAATTTATAGCGATTGCAATTACCAAAGAGGCAAACGACTGAATGTGTAAGAAAATATAAATAGACGTAATACAGTTCATTTTATTCAATAAAGTTTTGAGTTATTCATGTATGAAGACACGATTACTCTTTACTAATGAATAACAAGTGGAAGCACACCGATTCATGGTGCAATATCGGGTTTTATACAATTCAACGAAAAGAGATCTTCGCTAACACCAATTCTATGATTGATAACAATATGAATAAGAAAGAAATAAAGAAATTACCAGGTTATATTATATAGAGAAATAATAAGAAGTATGGGGTAGGTGATGTGCTATTTACAGTCAACCTTTCAAAACTGATTCTGTCAAAACTATTATCTACATGAGAATCAATTTTTTTAAGTTTTGAGATTGCATTATACACTGGTGATCATAAATAATGCAACAAAAAAAAAAAAATTTAGTTGGATCGTATTATCTCACGCAATTCCGGCGTATTTGTTAAATTTTTTTTTTTATTTTATTCACAAATACTATCTTTTTTAAATAGCAAAATTTAATAGTCGTTATTATTACCAATGCGATAATTGTGAATTTATTACAAATCATGTGTTGCATTATTTTTGACAAAGATCAGATTGCGTGAGTTGTGCTACATAAATACATATAAAAATGTAAGTTTCATTGTTGATTCTGTATTTTGTGTAATGTTAGAATTGCTTACAAATCAAAAAAAAAGAACTATACAACCTTCATCAAATGAGTCTAAATATTGTTTTTCTTTCAAAAAGGGTGCATCACAAGAGCAGTAGGTTGGGTTTACCATATTAATTTTTTCACAGTCTCATGAATTAGAAAAAAATGGTCAACAAATCACATACTTGAAGATTTAGGAAGGGTTGATCATCTAATTTCATTGGATGAATCAACCCAAAGAAGAATAGTAAATTTAAGGATAGAGTACAATGTAGATCATTTCTATATATAATTAGTTACAAAAAAAATTTTATATATTAATTGCAAAATATATTATTAATAAAATTTTTTATTTTTTAATTAATTAATAAAAAAATTTTATAATATTATAAATAAAATTATTGATCTATTATAGTAAAATTCTAAACTATTATATTATTTTTAAAAAATATACTTGTATATATGATAAAGTTTGTCTAAGTCAATTAAAATTTGTCTAAATAGTACAAAATTGGATATTTTGATTAGTTAATTTATGTAAATCTATAAGTTAATTTTATTATATAATTTTATAGATTAATATTTAAAAACACATATCTTGATGAGTTTATACTCAATTTTAATAATTTTACTATTATTAGAATCAAAAAAACTTATTAAAATTTATTTACTTAATATATTTTTTCAAGAAATTAAATATAGTATAAAAAAAATAATAAAAATTTGCAACTAATTATATATAGAAATGATCAACATAGTACTCTATTCTTAATTACTTTCTGCTACTGTTCTATCACTGTTAAAGTGAGGACCCACCTTAAAATAAATGAAAATATTGAAATTTCAGTATCTACTATTCATTAGATACATTGAACCATAGTTTAGTATTGGAAATAAATAAAAAAAACCCTACCTAATTGATAGATATCAAAAAATGTGGCTCATTTTTGTAAAAAAAATATGAAAAATAGATTGTCAAAGATTAGTCCAAGATAATTTAGTCAGATGAGTCAAGGTTCTAAATTTTTGGATTAGATAATAAGTGGTACTATCAAAAGTGTTATAAAAAACTATTAAATCAGTTCTATCTTAAGTTTACTATAAAATATAACAGTAGATTAATTATGATTTGAGGTTGCTTTACCTTATATGATGTTGGCAGCTATTGTAAGGTCGATAGTCAATACATACAAATTTGTACCTAAAAATACTCTATGAAGATTTATATAAATAATTGAGAATCATGAATTTAAAGTCAATAAAGATGTTTTTTTAACTAAATAAAACATCTTGTTATATGACAACATTAACTAAACATTGGCTTACAAGGAATAAGATAAAGTTTTTCAACTGGCCTTCCCAATTAGTCAATTTAAACCTGATTGAACACTTATAAGATAAAGTTGATTGTCACTTTAGGAACCTTCTAATCAAATTTTAAGTAAAAAAACCTTTTGGGAAAAAATTCAAATAGTTTGATAAACAATTAATATTGAAACCTGTATGAGAATAATTCATTCAATGCCAGAATAAATCTGTAATGTAATTAAAGCCTGGGATGACTAAACCAAATGGTAATAACTGAAACTTATTAAAAAAAATTTTTTTTTTTACAATCATGTTGTTGTTAAAACAAGCAAAAATAATGCAACACATATATTGAAATAAAGCTTGTATCTTCAAAAAATTTTGAGCACTGAATTTTTAAATCTTTTTTATTAATAATAATTTTGCTAATTACAAATAAAATCAAAAAAATTTAACAAATATGCCTGGAATT